AATATTCTAATTTTCTGAGACAGTCCTGTATATTTCTATTAATCATTTTCGGCCTTTCGGCATTCGGTTTTCGGCCAACTGTTTCCTATTTTCGGTATCGGTTTCGGCCAAGAATTTCCCATTCGGTGCACCCCTAGTATTAACATAAAGTCATCACATCGCAACCCTACTGAAGAGCCAAGATAAATTGAAAAGGCTGAATGAAATAACCAAAAACTTTCTTTTTTGAAATTACATTTTCATATAATTTTCAGGAGTCATGCTTCTGATATCAGCTGAAGAAAAACGAAATAGCTATAATTAATCACTTGTTTTTGTTCTTCAGGAAAACACAAAGTCTGGGTCTTCCATGTTCAAACCATTTGAACAGATCACCAATTTTTCTTGTGAACACAGTGTGTAAATTCAATGTTGCCATAATATAAACATACAGTAAGTTGTTAGTAGTTATTCTGGCTGCACACTCCTATGTGTACCCGATAACTCATATGTAAATAATAACTAATCTAACTTCACAAAGCTTGATCTGTGAAATTATACCAGAATGAGCATTAAATATACATTAATTTCTGTCAAAGTGAAATTATTGTTAAATGTAAATGTATTTTGTCAGCCCTGTTACAATCAATTGGACACTTACAGCGATTGCTCGACAACCACGGTTAGTGCTGGCAACCAAGCAACCCTCTGTGGTTGCCATTGGAACCTGGAACTGCTTCCCATCCAGATGCAGGGGTCCAGCCACGCCCACAGGTACGGGCATGTAGCCAATCACGTTCTCGCAGCATGTGCCTATCACCTGGAAAACAGAAACATGAATGAGAAAAACGTCTAGAAATAGCAAGCAGCGCGTGTGTGTGTGTGTGTGTGTGTGTGTGTGTGTGTGTGTGTGTGTGTGTGTGTGTGCGTGCGTGCGTGCGTGCGTGCGTGCGTGCGTGCGTGCGTGCGTGCGTGCGTGCGTGCGTGCGTGCGTCTTCACCTTGGAGTAGTCGTAGTGGGTGTATGGCAGGGAGGACAGTGCAGAGGGAGAGGGCAGTTTGGAGGATAACATCTGTCTGCGTATGGCCACTCCTCTCTCCGGTTTCTCCATCATGGCCTCCAGTTTGTATGCAGGGATGTGTTTGGAGTTGACCAGCTGCATCACCTCAGCATCGCTCAGGAAACGAGCCCCCATCTGTAGAAACACAACCATGCAGGGACTTAAGGTGTGTTTACACTGGACGCGGAGGGAAGATTCATAATTTGAAATCATTTGTGTTTACTAGTCACTCAAACTAGACGCGCTGGCAAGGTGGTGGGGCTTATCTTATCGTTCCTGTCTATATTTACTTAAGATTGGATAAACCAAAATATATATTTTTTAATATACCAGTGAAATAAATCCACACTTTGATTGAAAGTGCTGTTGAGAAATAATATTGAGAGCTTCAGATTCAGCCCATTCCATATTTTAACACCAATTATCAATAAACTGTGTGACATAATGCTTGTCCTATAGGGCTATAGTGTTGGCTTGCATTCTACAATTACAATTTATAGGAAATGGATTACAACCAACTGCCTAATATTTAATTTCATAAAAGCACCAACAATTTTTTTAGCAGATAATCAATATTGAAGCAATATCTGGACTCCCTACAATGGGATGTTAGCCTTTGCAGCCCATTTACATGCACAAAAACCTATATCACACACTACGGGAAAGGTAAACCCCATAAGCCTTATAGATCTTTTTTAAAATCTCCGCTTCTGATCATTTCAACATGTCACGTGAAATATCCTCCTCTCCTCATGCAGTGCGGGAGAAGTGAAAGCTGGACCTGCACGAGTTGAGTTCAGGCCAGAGGAATCAGTGTCTTATCTATTGGCGTCATGCTCTAATTGGTTCAGCCTCAAAGAGAGAGTGGAGTGAGTAAGCTTATTACAACGCTCTTAGATCAGACTACTGCCTCAAACCTGCAGTCTAATTGGTGTGGCGACTGAAATAGACACCGGAGCTAAAGGTGTGCCGAGGTAAAGTATAAGCCAACCCCCGACTTGTTTGAGACTTCAGATGTGAAAGGTAGCTTTTCTCTATATTTTACAATTGATTTTAAAATCCTTACATTTAATTGTCTGGCACCCTCTTATCTCACTGATTCTCTGTCATTCTGTGTCCCTGGCCCTAATGCCTTCAACAGCAGGCTTTTTAAATATTTCAAATGTCCCCCAAAATAAAACTGGGGAAGCAGATTCTATGCCCCTAAACTGTGGAACATCCTACCAAGAGAACGCCAACTAAGTTTGGCGGTGATGGCGAAGTCGATAGGGACTTGGCTTGGCAACTGGAAGGTCACCAGTTCAAGTCCCGGCAAGACCAAGGGCTACCGAGATGCCCCTGAGCAAGGCACCGTTCCCTACAATGCTCCCCGGGCGCCGTTCAAAATGGCAGCACACTGCTCCTAACACTAGGATGGGTCAAATGCAGAGAAACAATTTCCCCACGGGGATTAATAAAGTATATCAAAATC